TTGGTCTAAGGATCGATGTTTGAGTTATTCTCACTGATATTAGTAAAATCATCGAGTTCAATGACAAACACATGTTTATCATGTATTTATAGCACCTTAAGCGACCTAATGTAACTAAGTTCTTATTAAAGCATCACTATAGTTTCGAAAACTACTGACTTCAACTTAATTTTGCATGACAAGAATGCGTTCAGGTTCATTAATTAGTCACAAAAGCGACAGTATCTTGCGATTTTTATCACCGACACTGCACTGCGCTGGCCTCTTTCGATATATATTGAAAGTTTATTTCGCTCTTTTTGGTTATGATTACACTACTTTTTACTACCTTTAATTATGCTTATGCGTTTTACTCCTTATTTCCTATAATCTCTGCTTAGACAAAGAGAATGGTTCTACAAAAACTCGGTCACGAAGCGGTGGAGCTTGGTCATGGACACCTCCTTGTGTCTGATATTGAGGAAAACACTCTGGTCTCCAGGCTTTGTGACCTTCTTGAGCGTATATTTGCTCACGGGCTTAACAAAAAGATGGTAAGTGACATTCTCCTCCCTCATTAAAGTTTACCAAACTTAAATCCTTGGCTATCTAAACTCCTTGGAATAATGCAGAAATGTATTTTTAGATTATATTCCAACGTCCCTGCACATACTAATTTCTAGCAAAGTTAAACATTAAATTAAAAAAAGGGACAGGAAAATTGAATAAATCTTCAGGCTCTCTTCCCCCTTATGTGTAACTTCTGAATATAAATGTGCACTTTCTGCCAAGACCTCTAATTTGGGAAGGAAAACGTTTGGCTATTTCATTATCCTAAACGCCTTTTCATTTTGTACTCGATTTTATTTTATTCTCCATTGCTTCCATCATAGAATATATATTGCAGCGTTTTGCTTCGGGTGCAAACTGAGGATGCATTTGGGATTTTTGGTAAAACGAGACAGCCTCGATAAACTTATCACTATACTTACAAATACATCTGCTTCATTTATACCTATTTACTATGGGACTAAAATGTACCATAGGACTTTAATCAATTACTATCGATCTTTTGTATATATATATATATTACATGTTCAATTTTCAGATCCTGCTCTGTAATTACATGGAAGAGAAACCCGCGAATATTTTCTCATGGCTTATTGTTTCATTTTTCCTAACTAATTAATTGTAACTTCAGCCACAACTTTCTCGCTGAAAATGGGTATTCTCATTAATTCTCTTTTTTTTCATTTCTTCTCAAGTTTTTTTTCGTCTTATATTTCCTTCTTTTTCACTCTATTTCTTTCCCATATTTTTTTCTTCATTCTGTTAGGGTAAGTCGGCCCTCTGGTCATATCTCCTCCTCTTTCTTGAACTCAACATCAAACTTCCTGGTACTCAATCGGACCGCCAGCCAAACTATAATGGCCAGTCGTCACGACTGTCTCCTTGCGGAACTCGACAACCATTGGGGAATCAGCATCACCAACAAGAACGTTATCAGCGGGGTGCTACTTTGTCCCCATCGCCCTCCTTGCTGCGTCGACGGGCACAGACTCTGACGCGACGGTCGCCAGCTACCACAGCTCCGAGTGAGTACAAAGATTTTAATTAGCATTATTATTACTGCACGAGACCTTAAGAATTGACAAGAGTTGTGAGTGGACGGTATTAAACTAAGAAGGAACAAATGGGGCACCAAATTTTTGCGTGCACTTTAAAAGCACACTTTATTTTGACGACTTGTAGAGCTAATGATTACTACAGTCAGTGTTAGCTTATCTCCAGGCCATGTTCACCGGGATGTTTTCAAAGGAATTAAAGACTAATTTAAAAGAAGATATAAGTTGTTTGACCTTGTTTTCGCAACTTGGTTACATTGGTAGAAAGATTTAGAGGAACGCACCTAGTCCGGAGTCCATTTTATGCTATCTCCAATCTTTCCGTATTCATTTTCATGCATAGTCGCTGGTGTTCTTTGATCTTTGTATAAATTACTTTTCCCGTTTCTCTGATGTATTTTTGTTTGTTGTGTGTAAACCCCGGAGCACTCCATTTTGTTGACTTTTTCATGTTGGTTTGTCAACCTGGTGAAGAGGATTGTCCTTTCTTTCTTGGTTGTACGAATGTTCCTTTCAATGCCGCAGCTTCCGAGCCCATTCACAAATACATCGTTTTTCCTTTGTTCCTCTTGCTTTTCTTTCATAATCACAGTCCTTCCATCTGTTCATCACCATCCGTATGTTGCGTTGTATTACATCTTCCTGATATCCGTTTTCATGATACATCTGATTTAGTTTTCACAGTTCATTCTCCTAGAACTTAGAACCAGTCAGTCGTAGTCTTCATTCCATAAGTATGGTTAGACTGGAAGTTAAGAGTTATTCCAGCATGCGATTTCTTTCGGAAATGTCGTTTCTTTAGAGTTTCCTAGGAGCAAATGACCTACACATCCAAGAAAGGTAAGTATCCGTTCTCTTCCACATCCATAGTAGACTTGACTTTTTCTTTCACTTCGTTGATGAAGATCAGGAAATCGTCTAATTTTTCTCTTCCATGCGTTTGGATTGCGAAGTAGTCATACAAGTATTGCATAATTACTGTTGGCTGCTGAGGTGACACTGAAATTCTCCTCCAACTTGTCCATGCAGGCATTACCCAACAGAGGTGAGCGCATAGGCAGACCAAATATTTGCTCATCGATGCGACCTTTGAACGGGAAATAGGTCGTTATCATTGTTAGGTTGATTAATCGGGTTACAGACTTTTTGTGGCTTCGCTCCGTCTCAAGGAATGTACTAGGTCAATGGTTCGAAGCTAGAAATCACGAATATTATGGCATAGGACACAGAACTAGGTACGTTCCACAAGGTCTCCACTACAATCCGACCAAGTTGCGAAAAGAAGGTCGAGCTCGCACTAGGAAGCTAAAGGATAGTGCGACTAAACACAAGGCCACATCATATTGGTCTTCATAGCTATGATTGAAGTAAGATTGGACCATATATTTCTAGCCTTGTAGTATCTGTGACATATTCAGCTCGGCCCTCTCGCACTACATCAACTACTTTCTGTGTTGAGCTAGCTACATCGTATTTCTTATGCTGTTGTATCCATTTAGAATTTCATATTTGCTTCTTATCAATTTTTCTAGTCATTTCTCTCTCATTATCTTGGTTCTAGGATCGTTATCGTCAAATCTCCGCTTACGACAAAGTTATCTTCGGATAATTCTAATTTTTCGGTCTATTATTTTCCTTGCTGACAAGTTGAATGACACCAAATGTTGGCAAATCAGCGCAATCAATATGAGTTTATATTTTGGGGAAATTTTTTGACAGGAATGCCTAGAGGAACGCACCTAGTTTGGAGTCCATATTATGCATGATAATTCCCAGAGTCGGAACGTGGACGTGGTACATTCCCAGACGTTTTGCTGGCATCGTAGTCGGCTTTACCAATCCTAGCACCACACTTCAACTCGTTAAAAAGACAAATGAAGCCGATCCTTTGACAAATTATCTGCTAAACAATTGTGGTATCTCTCCTTCTGCCATGGACTATTCACCAATACTATCTCCTTGTATTACATCCTCACTATCGCAATTTTTTATTTAAATCTGCATGGTGTGTCCTTTTTTAGCGTATTTCATGACAACCCTCCAAACCCCACACTGGCTTTCTCACCCCTTCACCCCGGAATCCTCTTCCCATAGGTCTTATAAGAGTCTCCCTTTTGTCCCGTAGGATCCACCTCTTACTTTCCTGGTTCAGTTATTTCACTCGACCCCTACCACTCTATCTGTACCACTCGAAGCGTTATTTCCCACACTGTCTCAAGCCTTTGATGACACGCATACTCCCGCCTCGCTGAGTAGGCCTCTAAAAATCAGGATTCTTAAGCTGGATGGGAGACTTACTTAAGGCTTAATGGACCATGTCTAGGATCAAGCACGTCTATTGTTAGCCAAGTAGCCCTAGTTTTTACCGCGTCTATTCTGTTTCTATCCATAATACCAAGTATATGAGATCATATGCCCGAATCTCTTGTGTTTCAACCCACAACTGCTGTGGTTCTACTTGTTTTGACTAGGTTCAAGTTAAAAACACAACATTTGTGGGTTTTTGCGCAAGAGACATAGGACGCCATAGACTTGGCACTATAGGTAGAAACACAAAAGATGCGGCCGAGACTAGGGATTGTTGGCTAACACTAGGTCAGTTTGATCATAGACGTGGTCCATGAAGCAAAGGCTTGACGATGAGAATTACTCGGGCTCTTAAGCCT